CTCATGTTCCTGCCTGATGACCTACGAATTCGTCCAATTTAGATGCTTCTAGCCTTCTGCAGGGCCCTCAGGGCCTTCTCCCATCAGCGCCTGCCTGCCAGCAAACTGCGCCTGCGGCAGGACATCGGGAGATCTTCGTTCCGCCGACTCCCCGACTGAGACCTGCATGGACAAAGAGACCTTGCCTGTTCTCGCCAACTGCCACTCCATCAGTAGTCTGTCTGCATGTGTAGAGTCAAGAATCAGAGGTGTGTCCCGCCTTTCACCTCCGAGAATCCACGACCAAGGAATCCACCAATCCCTTGGATCCTCTGCTTGAAGCGTTTCCTGACAATCTGTCAGAACATCATTGGACCAATCTGGTGCCGACAAGAAATGGCTCGGTTGGACTGCTTCCTGGTCATTCATCCTGTTTTGCACCAAGTACACTGACCAGGAGCGGTCAGTCACAAAAAATGTGGAGGTACTCGAAGTCGGTATAGATGACCCAGCAATTGCAAGGCACAAAGTCTTCAAAAATTAGTGCTTTCCTTGCCGCAGGCACCAATTCATAAAAGAAACGAAAGTCCTCAGAAACAACATGCATATGCACTGACTTCAATACCTCTCAACCACCTTGCATTGCCTCACCAAGATATGACACAGCATGTGAAAAGTCAACATGCGCGCATACAGTAGGAAGCCATCCACGCATATTATTATTATTATATATCGTATATGCCTTATGTTCAATAAGAGATCTACATGGTGGACAAGCGTCTATCAAGGCTTGAGGACAAGCAGATTTCTCAGTAAGACAACTAGCTAAACACCACTTCCATGAGAAGTAATCAGTAATCAACATCGAGAGAACCTTGATCTGGCTCATGCAAGCTGCAGTAGGAGGTCGTTGTTATTTTCTTATTGTTTTTGCTGGGTTTCACCGCCATTTCGGTGCTCTGATTGATGATGTTTGAGTCGGAGTTGGGGACCTGTTGGGCCTGCGTGTTCTTCGTCCAGGCTTCTGAGGCCTCGCTGCGACTTTCGTTTGGTATACCCATTTGTCCCGCATGCGAGGCGCGACGCGACGGGCTACGTTCCCCGTTGATGGGCTCTGGGGGCTCCTCCGAGCCGGACCTGTCGTGTGGTCATCGTCACATCGAGTGCCGTCGAGGAGAGTGGAGAGTGGAAAACACTTTACAGGATGAGAAAACACTTTACTTGCCCCAGCACCGTGAAACCCTACCAACCTCATCCCAAGCACCACAAGAAAAGAACCGCTCTTTCATCACGGTCCAGGCGCGACGCGGGTCCCTCGTCCCGTGAGGCGCACGCCCGATGATCTGCCCTTCTTCGAGGCTCTTGGCGTCCAGCACCAGGACCATCGGAGACTCCGCGCGGCTCGCCGTCAACGTCACGTCGACATGACGGAAAACGGGTTGGTCGTTTTGTTTGCAAGGGAGAAGCGTTGTTTGATCGAACAGAAAGGGCTTGGTGGTTGTGGGTGGAAAACGTTTGGGAGATTGGCCAAAAGGTTTTGAAAAATCCGTCAAAAAGATCTAGAGTTGCCCCAGCAAGCAGGGCAGAAAGGCGAAGGCGCCTCCTGGTCAACAGTGCTTTGATCGAACCCGAATTTGTGGGCTTTCGAGGTGGCAAAGTATTGTCCAGGTATTGGCCTACATTGGGGTGGTTTCAAGGGTCCATGAAGGAATGCATACAGTATATATATACATATTATGGAATATAAGTGTTTGGGCATAGTATGCAATATAGTAATTTCAACAGGAAAGTGGACGAGGAGTTGATTTGGGACTGTTTGTATGACAATCAATAGCTGTCCCAAAAGGCGCATGATCTACAGTACAAGGTCTTTTGAGACTTTTTGCGTGTGCGGCAAGGGAGAAATGTTCAAATGGATTCTGGGAGCAAAGGAAACCCATGGAAAAGCCTACATTTCTCCTGGCTGGAGATCCACAAGTACTGTGGGGGCTTCCATCCACGTGACCCCACAAATATGCTATATAGGACCCGGTTAGAAAGAATTGAAGACCCTGAAGTTGTGTATATAGACTCTTAATATGTTATTTTTTGTGTTTCTTCTTAACTAGATTTGGAGCTCTATACACATCTTCGTTGTTCAGTGTGTTCAGTGGCAGTGTTAAAGCCACGACTCTTCGCAGGCTGAACGACAGGTCGGCGGACGTGACTCGATCGATCCTAAACTCGATCGATCACCCTGAGATATAGAACTATATGAAAACAATTGAACACATACTCGCAACCACCTAGGTGTTCTACCCATCTAGATCACTCCCCTTTTTGGGAAAACGGCCGGACCCCCAAACCGCTGCGACGTGGCCGACGTCGGTGACCTGAATCCCGAAGGGCAGGCGGTTCTGCGAGAAGGTGTTCGCCTCGAAGCGATGGGACGTAGCGTTCCAAGTCGGTGGACCTGGGTTTTCCGTATGACGTCGGTGGACGGTGTGCAGATGGTTGAAGAAAAATGAAGGACCCAGCAACAGGAAGACTAAGGTTTGTGCAAGTAGAACGTGAAATCGTGAGGTTGGAAACCCTGAAGAGTGCAACATGAGCGTCTTAGGGGCCCTTTACTATGTGGTGTTCTCTACCCGCCAGCCTCTGTTTGACAAACAAGCCACCAGGGTCAACGGACAGATCCTGAAAAGATTACAGGAACAACTACACTATATGACTCTTTGCAGTGGATGCTTTGCCCTTAAAAACCAAACAAGGAGTGCCTGCCCTTTGTGCTCGGCTCTACTCGCGGAAACCAACGGCCTGTCTTTGTAGGGAAATTGTTGTGGCGAACGGCCCTGGTAAAGGAGCGCAGCGGTTCTCAGCATTTTTCTGAGTCCACTGCTCTGATGGAGTCCGTGGAAAAAGATCTCTCCTCGACCCTGGTGGAGGGCATCAATTCATCATCCTACCCTATTGCGTCTCCTCGAAAGGACAAAAACTGACTATACACTTACACAATATATATATATATATATGCATATAGGATCCAAGTACCTTCTCAAAAGGTGAGGAAGGAGACACTGTTATGTAGGTGCCAGGAGGGTCCAGTCGTATTATGTGCATCCCCCTAGTGTATATTATAATATATATATATATACATGTATGGCAAGTGGCCAGTGTGTATTTGGGACCAAACTTTGTGTGAGAGACAGGCTTGTTTATCCATATAAGTCTTGCACCATGAGCATTACACACTCCACAGTTGGTTGGCACAGGTCATGAGGAGCAGAGACGTTCACTTCAAATGGATATCGAGGACCTTTTTTGAGCATCTGAGGTCCTTCGGTACGCCCGCCACTGGGTTTGACCATTTCCAGTAGTTCGTAAACACACAAACATGACAACAAAATAACAAACATGACAAAGTGGGGTCCAAGACATTCTGTTCTATACCCCTGAGCCCTATTGTGGGGTCAAACACAGTATCTCATGAATCCTGAACTTATGTTATATCATATATGTATATCATCTACTGTATATATGTTTTTTGTTCTCGAAGTGATGTAATGTAACACTATGTTTGTTCATGCATGCTTGTGCAAAGTGATATGACTTATGTACATGACATGACATCTACCTATAGTCATACTTATGAATCCTTGCAATCCCTACACTCTGACACTCTTCGGTCTATCTCCGTACCTGGTGTTCCAGGTCTATATGTATATATATATATATATGGCCGGCGTTTGGGCTAATCCGATGGACTGCAATCCACCAGGCTCGGATCATGTTTGCATGTTACTTTGAACATCTGCTGCTTTTCGGCTGCTACTCGGCTGCATCGACGAGATCCATCGACGAGATGATCGTTCCCTGAAGCCTGAAGCACAAAAAGCCCCCCACGAAACTGAGGCTCAGGAAGGGAAACCCTGGTTGCCCCAACGACTGACACGCAGTGCTTATGAAGTCCCGAAGTTTTCCCTCTGACCCCTCATGGAAAATGGAGGTTAAACTGTTTCCACCAGTTGGACTTTAATGGGAAAACCACTGCCCCCCAAAAAATACTCAAAGTATTACCCACTGACCGGGTAGGCCTTGCTGTTTCTGGGTATGCTGACCCACTGGTCCATGGTCACCACCCGAACTGGGTGGTGCTGGACTGTTTCTCTGATTCCATTCGACACGTCTGGTTCTTTGCAACCACATTTTCCCTACAAGTGACAAAACTTGTTTAATTATATACCCGTACACCAAAACTTATTTTTTTTCTCACCAATTTGGTTCTACAATTATCTACACATTTCTACACAGTATTTACATATACATATGACATAATATATATATATATATATTTGATTATATTTGTATATTAACATGTACTTTTATGCCTGCTCGAAACATTCTGAATCATGCTCTGGCATGGTCTCATCAGTGCACCGCTCCAGTGAAACAAACCTGGCCAGCCAGGCGCCTCTGGGACGCATCGACAAAGATGGTCACGATCCTGAATGCCTGAACGACCTGCTCAAGTGTCCCATTAAAAAGAAGAAAACATCTGATATCAAGTTGAACACCTGGTGCCAATTCTAATCTATCTAAGATAGGAAACACATCAAGAATCTGGTGCGCAAACTGTGGTCTCGAGTCTCCAGTGTGTATGTTCCACAAAAACAATTGCCATAGAAACCAGTCAACTTTTACATAGCTTAGTCCTAGTATGCCAAAAATCAATGCAGGGACCACTCCACCCATAGGGTCCAGGTACGTCCTCCTGAGGATAGTAGAACAGAGGTGAGCACGTACTTTCAGAGCATGGCCGACCTGGGGCCTTTCAAATCATCAGAATGATCCTGGACCTTTAGGGCTAGTGAAGATCTGTAACTTTGGAATTCATCCCCACTTGGTTTCTCTTGGGGGGAGCTCCTTCTAATCAACGACTCAATGTTTGGCTTCATTCCGTCCACGCTCTACCAGGTCTAATAGTTACAACATGCTGCCACAACAAAAACAACATGTTCGGGACATGGCATTGTTATCCATTTGACGCAGGCCTCCCGAAAAGGACAAGTCTGTCTTCATAGAGACATCCAGAGATCAGGCCTCTCTTCTCAACTCCTAAGAAAGCCACTCCCCACGCAGGTGTTTTTCACGCGGCAAGGGAGACGACATCGCGGACTCATCGGGATTTGGGCAAACTCACAGGCTCCGTGTAGTACTGAGCGGGCATTGGACAGGTCTGGTGCACGGCTGGGAATCCAAAAGAAATGGGGTGTGAGACATGAATCAGGTCGAAGCATGTCGCTCATCCTGCCGGAGACAAGACGAACAAATTCTCTTTTCAAAGCTCGGAACCCGAGATGTACACATGCATTGTATAGTTTAAACATGTTTAAATAACCAATTATGCTTTGGGGTGGTGAGATTATACAGGATCTTTCAACTGTGTACCAAAAGGATCCAAAAGGTTGTGATGATCCAGGACCTGTCCAAAACAAGAAAACATCCTGGTCCTAGTTTTTAAGGAACATCTCAGTGGTTCGTACTGGCCAACATCAGCATTTCATCATTGACACTGGGTTTGGTCTACCCAGACCCTGATTTCCAACCAATTTGCCACGATTCTCGACACATAGCTGTATACGTGTCCGCTATTGGCTATGCTTGCATCAAATAGCATCACATAGCTGGTGATCACTCATCGAAATCTCTTGGTGTTTGCTGCATCACCCCCAGCATGGCCATGGTGTTTTGGTCCATGGCACGTCGGGCCACCTCACCCACGACCCACGACGGCAAATCGGACCCCATCGATGCGGAAGACTAGTGAGAAACTGGAGGTCTCTGACCACAAACTATATAGTACTGAGAGAAAAAACAACAACAAAGCACAAACACAAATAATATAGGACATATGTAAGACAAATAACTAACTATAGTACTGAGGGAATAACAAGTATGTAAGAAATATAGGGCCACGGCCAGTACACCCAGGCTCTGAAACGTGGAGCATTGGTTGCATGCAAAACGTCACGTGCCGCACGCTCTTTGAGCGCATCAATTCCAGGTACCAGCAGCACCCACTCAAAAAGAACACGCACTAGCATCCACATCTGGTTTCCAGTGAGCATCCAATCTGGCCCAAACTGGGTATCTTTAGAACATCTCCAACAGAAGCAATCCGTCTTCCTCGGTGTCCCGGCATCGCAAAGGCTCACGGGCTTCCGCAGGCCTCAATGTCGGTGTCACCGCTCTGGCGCAAAGAGCATTTCTATATCGCCTAGGGCCCTAGGGCTCCAACCATATCCTCGGAAGGAGGTTAGACCCCTGACACCCACCCCAACCACGTTCTGAGGATATGGTTGGAGCATGGTTGGAGCCTAGTGATTCTAGTGGGCACCGCAAATTCCCAGTCACCAGTGAACAAGTGCACGGCAACTTCGGATGGCTTGCAGAGCGGCAACATCTCAACAACCCTCTCGAGGGCTCGAGAATTCTGGCTAGGCACCACCGATCACAGGGCTCGAGAAGTCTATGGGATAGATCAATCCGACCTTGCTGTTCTTCGATCCCAAGACTGAAATCTACAATGTGTCTTCCAGCACCATCCACTTCCATGGATTCACTCGCATGGACTTGGTTCTAAATCGTCATGCATGCAGCCGTCCTTTGCTGCAAAGCTAGGACTGTTGGCGACAAGATTCTTTTCTTGTCTACATCTACTATGCGGTCAAAACTTTCTCACATTGGCGGCATGCCAGGTGACAGAAACCCAGTGGAAATAAGGAACCAGGGTTTCTGGGTCTACTACAGGATTTACTGTAGTCTTTGGAATCACTGGTTACATAATGTTATATACACTGGTTACCTATACGACTTTAGTGGTAACTGGATCCATTGAGAAAAGCAATATTGGCTGCCAAACGTCTTTAAGATCTTTAAGAAAAACACACGTGGCACTCCAGAAACAAACACCTCGTCGAAAGACCGAGTCGCTCGCTTTCTTTTGGTCCCTCTCCACATGGTCTCATTCTTCTGATCTCAGTGTCCAATGGTCTCATCGCCCAACATCCCCAACCCCAAATCCATCCTTCCATCGGCTCCCAATTCCTCCCAACACCTCCCTAAAGCCGGCCGCGGGGGGGGCGGCCGGTGGCCCCCTCTCTGGGTGCTCCGGACGCCGGGGCGGGGCTAAGCCTTCCCGGAGCGCTTGCAAGGCCTCGATCAAGAGGCGTCTGCCAGGGGTCACAAGACGGGTTTTGAGTCCCATCGAGTGAGTGGATCAAGAGGCGTTCCCTACCGAGGCCGTACCTTCTCGTACCTTCGAGAAGGTGGGACTGGGGTGGGTGCCAGGAGGGTCCAGTCATACCTTCGACCTTCGTTGGTGTTACTGGGGTGGGTGCCAGCCAGGTCGAGTTCATACCGAAGCTGAGGTTCGGTACGACTGTGAGTCGAGGGTCGTTGAGTCGTCGAGACAGCGGGTCGTCGAGTGGTTTGGTTGGAGTGGTCTGAGTGGTTCCGGAGGCGGTTTGGAGGATGGAGAGGGAGAGTTGGAGGGGGGGTGCAAAAGGGGTGCAAAAGGGGCGAGAAAACCCGGAAATGCTGGCGATGCAATTCTTTCAACTCCACGCTAGAAACTTCACATTTCAGACGACCCTTAAGGGTCCCCAAGTCAGATGCAATTGATCAGTCGGTGCCCAGAATGTCTTTCCATTAGTGGCTCTTACAGTACCCAAAGTGCCAGGATCATGTCATTCTCGTGATGAACACATTGGCCGCCCCCCCAAAATATCTGCCCAGACGCTCCAAACAGCTCTTGGTCCCTCAAAACAGTAGGGATTTGAGGGTCCGGACCCCTACTTAGGAGGGTCCAGCCCCTACTTAGGAGGGTCCATGAGCGTCTGGGTGAGACTATTTGGGGATGATCTGACCAATATCTTCAATGGATTTGTTCAACACCAGGGGAGATCTGCGGTCTGTGGGTTTAAAATGGTTTACAGTAAAAGCCTAGGCCGTCGAGTCCCTGAAATCATGGCTAAGTGGAGTGAGATGAGTGAGATGAGTGAGTTCACCACCTGTTCTGGAGATCGGACCATCATCATCCCTTTGGGGCCATGCCGTACTTTCCATGCTTCTTCCAGGGAGTAAATCCATTCGATTGGCCTTCCCACCATCCAGGTCCACTCATGAGACGCCCACAACAACCACAAGGTATACCACTGCAGTTCCGGCTTTTCGACCGAGGGGGCACCATACTATGCCATCTGCAGTGGGAGGAAACGTATCGAAGACTATAGTCCTGTAGGTCCAAACTCTGGCTCCAGTTGACCTCACCGGTGAACGCGGAACCAGTCGAACACTCCGGTCTCACCAGTCTCCCTCATCATTGCCAGACATTCTACGTGTAGACAGCGGTTCGTGAGCGACGTAAAGGGTGCCTTTTGTTCGGATTTCAGTTCCTCCTTCCGAGTCTTCTCCTTGAGCCGTTTCTTCTCCTGGCACAATTCTGCTAGGGCGGGCGAGTTACGGCTGCCACTGTTCAAAGAACGGCTTGGGGAAGGAACGCGAAGAGCGAAGAGCGCGGGGCGAAAGCAAAAGCGTGGCCGCGCACACTCGCAGAAAGCTCTAGTTGGACTATGTTGGACTGAACAAATGGATCAAGAAGCCAATTGCACAGCATTTGGTGTTCGGTCTTGCAGTGGAACCAGTGACCACAGTACACTCCCTGGAATCATCATGGAGGTGGATGGCATTTTCCGAAGACCAAACAGGCAGGTGGGTTTCCACTTTCCCTGATCCACATGACTTCTCAGAAGGCAATTGGACCCTCAAAGCCTACAGTAACAGTCTCCAATTACCTGCTGAGAAGGTACTAGTATGTGGATCCATAGGGTGAGAACTGGCTTCGAGATCGACCAAGAGCGGACAGGTGACAACGTTTCCTGGAGCAGGTGACTAGAACAGCTCACCTGTAAATATGGTTTCAGTTGGTATAGTGACTCCTTGAGACAAATGGTTTTCATTCAACAAATCCGGCATCATGTGCGGAATACATCGCACTTCCAGAGTTCCAGCATTCTTTGGAGCTCTGGGAATCAGTCAAGATTTGTCTTTCTTCAACTATTCCATGTATCTCCACATACTGGTAGCACACAAACACACAACTGCCAATAACGGATTATGGGCTACCAAACAAAGAATTTCCCATCAGTCTTGTTTGCCCGTCCATCTTTCCAAAATGCTTCACCTAGTTGTAGTTTTGATATGTTAAAATGTTAAAACCTCAAAGGACACGACCAGTGTTTAGGTCAATACCATGAACACCCCATTGAAACAAGTTGCTGTCCAAAGCACACAGCTTGGCGCAATATGTTCGCCCATGCCGTTTCTGCAGGGGCCGATATTCATGGATCAATTTAGGTAGTTCAATAAACCCAAACCATTCATGCATGAAATTGTTATACCTACATTAGGGTCATCAATGGGGTACTGTAAATGTATAACTATTATTGCATACACATAAACAATAGCAACATGTACAGTCACCCACAGTGCAAAAAGGAACGAAGATAAACAAGTGTTTACAAACACAAACACTCCAGCTTGTACCACAAAGGGGAGATGACCTTCGAACAGCAAGCGCCACATTCTACCTTAACCAAAGTTCATAGGTGTTGAAGACTAGATACCCTGAGTTTCCCAATGACTCATGTTACCTCTATGGTAGCGGTGGAATATTGACTACCAGGTGCGGTAGTTAGTCATTGGAAGTTCTGGGATAGGCACATGACTCTCCTTCAAAGATCTGCAGAGACTGCAGAGCGCCGAAAGACGGAAGACTGGACAACCTCGAGCCTTACACTTCCACTTCCGCTTCCGAAGGTGAAAGGGGTTCAAAGGGGTTCAACTTGTCAATGAGGTGGATTGGATCATGGACATCCACCGGATAGACCAGTCCTTCTGGAACCTATTTATCGTATAAACATGATATACCCCATGAATCCCGCAGTCTGCTGTTCTTTGTGTCTGCTCCCACCTTCCAGCCATCTCCAGTCCCGCTGGGATCTCCATCACCGGCCCTTCGCAGTCCGTCCGAAGCCGTCGCACCCTCCCACACCGCACACCGTCAGCATGGACCATGGACCGTGCCATCCGTGCCTCACTCACTTTCATCCACTCCTGCGTGAGTTCGCAATCCTCCTCGCAGCCGGTTAAGTGGTGTGAAGTCGAACCGGACCGACGCCGTCTCCGATTCGGTTCGGTCGGTGACCGTTTGGGACGTTGGTTTGGTGGGAATTCGCATCCTCCGTGGCACTGGAGGGCACCGTGGTGTGCCCGAAAAGTGCCATGGCACCAGGCAGTCCATGCAAGTGTGGAAGGACGGGACCACTAGTATTCTCCCAGACGCGACCCTGCACCCTCATATGGAGGGGTCCAGACCCTGCATCCTCCCTAGGTTTTGAGATGTTTTCAGAGACCAGGCTGGAGGGCCTGTGTTTCACACGGGGCTTACCTGGGTAGATGTTCACGTTCAGGCCTTACAGGCCTTACTTGTGGCGTACCCGAGTTTCACATATATGGCCCTGCCCAGTCTGACCTGTCACGGTGTTCTTCGCCAGGTGCCACGAGGTGTTTTCGGGCAGGCGGACAAAAGTCTAGGCTTCAAAGTCTGATAATCAACTTGGCGACTGTTGAAGAGTTTAGTCTATAAAATTCAGGAATATATGTCATGACGGACTCTTGGGGTAGAACAACCTGCACTACCTAAGACTCAAGAATTTCTTGTAGCTTGGACTGTGAAGGCGAGTGATTCCCTTCAGCAAGACTCAACATCCGACCTACTGAAGAGACAACCATGGAACCTGATGGCATGGAGCGACTTCCTCCGGTCTCTTCTCTGGGGCTACTTCGGAGAGCGGTGGCTCAAGGACTGTCCCGTGCCCGCTTAGACGACACTCTCCTCCTTTTGCCGCCGCCGCGTGAGGAAGTAGCGCTTGGCGCGCTCTTCGGCTGCCCTCGGTGCAGGTGGAAGTGGTTTTTTGGATTCACAACCCAAAAGACTTGGACCATCCAAGGGGTCTAATGGAGATCCATAAGTAGTTCCATGTCGTCCATTCTGTACGCCTTGGATGGTGATGGTCCTGGCAAAGCCAGGAGTTCCCTCATGTTCTGCAAAAGAGATTAGACCCCCAAAATACCCCAAAACATAGAGCTGAAATGAGCTGAATGCCATGAGGATTAAAATTTGGTAATGTTTCTTTTTCAATCACGTTCAATCTTGGGGATCTTCAGGCAAGAGCACGGGAACACACGTCTCCCTAAGCGTCCAGGACCATCCATTTCTGGGATGTTCTTTGACCACCAAAACACACACTCAGTTCCCTTCGACAATCCGAAAAGGAGGTACCTTCATTGGTCGGGTTGAGGTCCAGGGCAGAGTCATCTGTCCAAATAGATCAAATTCTTGCAGCACTCTCTGGCAAAGAAATGTTCTCATCAAAGGTGGCCGAGTTGGGTCTCCGAGACACGACCACGATCCATTGCATATGTTTTCTTATTCAGAGAGTGGGCTTTTGACCTGGAGAGTGGATTTTTCCCATAACATTGAGAGTGTGTTTTCGGACCTTCCTTCGTGTGGACACTGTATGTTTTCGACACGTCCTTCAGTTCGTCTTACTTTGAGCGGTTTTGTACGAGTAGTCTCGTACGTCATGGCTGTTTCTGTCAGTTCTGTCAGTCAGCTCGTCGGGCCAAAGGGCCAACTCCACCCCCGAACGAGCAACGCCGGTATCGACTTGTAGGCTTCATGACTTGGGTTGCATATCGTTCATTGTGCAGCCCACCCACCCTTTTCCCGTGGTTAAGAGGTGCAAGCCCCGTCACGTTGGCCAGAAGAAGATGGGCCAGGGGTGGGTGTAGGGGTCTAACCACCGAACCTGAGGAGATGGTTGGAGACGTAGGGAGTTGTAGGGAGCCTACAAGCAGGTCCAAAAATCGACCGAGACAACGCCAAGCTGCTGCTGCAGCCATGCACGGCAGCTTTCCTCCTCTTCCAAACGCTTCTGAAGCTCCTGCATGCGACACAAGCGCGCAGTCGTGCCCTCAGGTGTGGGGAGGCAAACAAAAACAAAACAAAACATGAACAAAAACCTGAGTGACCTCTATTTTGGAGGGTGATCTATATCCAAAACATTCCAACACTTTGCTTTTTGCACACCAACACACATGGGTTCACATGCATTCCGGGTATAAGATCATTCTTCAATTCCATACACGCCGTGGGACGAAGGGAAGTGGATCTCTGAGGGCCGGACACTAAGAAATGATCCCCTATTCTGCGAGTAACAGGTGGATAAAGGGATGCGGGCCGTCGCACTGGATCTGCTCTGCACTTGAAGCAAAATGGCACGACCCACACGACCGTGCCTCTAGAACATCCATACTATGCACCGACACAACTCGAGTCCGATTTTGAGGATCCACACCAGGATCGCTCACATTGGTAGGCATAATAGTTAAACACGTCATAATTAAGTTCTTCTTGACTCTTGACTTTTGGACACTTACGCAAAAAAATGCAAACACCATCAACATCAAAGACCTCAAAACAAAGGTCTTTGGCATACGTGTCAAAAACGCCACCTTACACTACCCCAATTCCAAGACTCCTTCTGTTGTCTGCAGGCCGCTGCCTTGCGCTGCTCCTGCAAAGCATGGAGAGTGCACGCAAGTATACGTCGCAACAGACCGACGGGAGGGACCGACCCGCGCTCGCGCGCGTGTGCACATCACCAAATCGAAAAGGATGTGCCTTAGGTAGCAATTGCTACTGGCCTCATAGGAAGCAGCACAATGTGCATTAGCGTGCATTAGTGCCTATTAGCGTGCTCATGGACCCCTTCCTGACGCGACCACTCTTTTGGCTGGAAAAGCTGGTTGTACCTGTCTGTGGGCCGGTGGGGAAAATGGCCACTAGATGTCATCTGCATCTCCCAACAGATCGAGAGCTTTTTGACGCTTTGCGTCAAGCTCACTGCCTTCAGGCTGCTCAGCAGCTGGCTCCGGATCAACTTTGGTGAGAAAGCGGCCTTCATACTTTCGCTTTTCACCTTTCTTCTCGCCCTCTTCCAAGAGCACTTTGAAGTTGTCATTGGCGAGCACATTGACAACCGTGGCCAACTTGTCATTGTAGAAATCCTTTTGCTTCGTGGCCTTTGTGCGGACCTCTCCAGGAGATTGGGAAAAATCTTTCGAAAGAGAACGTGATCTTTTTAGGCAATAACTGGACTCAACAAGTTTGGAAACGAAACCTCTGCGTGTTTCGGTTGTTCCCAGAAAGGGCCTTATCCCCAATCACTATGGCCACCGTCGGAGAAGGAGAGTGAACTCCTGTCGGCAGCTTGGTCGGAGCTGCAGGGGCTGTCTCCTTATCCTCTTTCTTTGCCAAGGCGTCTTTTGCACTGGGCGGCGTGGAGTTGTCAGACGCCGGCTTGTACTTCGACAAGAACTGCAAGGAAGGGATCTCTCGGTCCAAGTCCTGCGCCCAACCGATTCAACGTGGCCCTATATCACCCGTGATTAGGACAGCGTGACTGATGCCAAAAGAGAACCTTTAAACTTGTCCAGCTATTTCGAAACAAAAACTTCCCTAGAGCCACCTTCGGTGGGATAGAGGCGGCCAACTTCTGCAGGGAATCCGAATGCTCTTCTTTGAAATCATCATAAGAGATCTCGGTGTAACCTGTGATGTCCACGCCTAGTTTCAATGAACTCAAATCGACAAAGATACGCTTGGCAAGGGCCGAAAGAAGGGGCTCACTGGCGCCGATCGCCATCAGCTTCTCATACTGATGCAACAACGACTTGGCAACGCTGTTCGAGACATGCTTCAAGGCTTCTGGGTCACGGCGTACCAAGGCAGCACCATGCAAAAGCTGGTTCACTGGAATTTCTTTCCAGACCGTGTTCTTGTCCATAAACATCCGGAGGGCCAGGAGCACCCATGCGCCGAGCTGCTTCGGCGGAGAAGCCAGCACCTTGGCCGAGCTTGGGCACTTGTTTGGTGGGAGATAAACCACTAAATTATACAAGCATAGACCCCATCCCAAGAGCAAACTGCTTCATCAATGATTTTTGTCGACATTGACATCGTTATTTCGGCGACACTCCGGATGAGAAAACCGGGCCACAGAGACCAGCCACAGAGTTCAGGGGTGCGGCCAAGACAAGGACAAGACCCAGACACAGAGCCGGGCCACAGAGTTCAGGGGCGCGGCCAGTGAGTGTGGCCAGCTCTTTGTTTTCTAAGATAGAACCCGAACAGTAAACAGTTTGGGGAAAAAAGAACAATAGAAAGAAATAGTACGCAGTGATTGCTAGCAGGCACGTTCTCCGGGAACCATCTCTGCAAAGATTCTAGGCGGTTGGAATCTTGCAGCATGTAAAGAACTTTCTGTGACATGGGCACGCTGCCAAAAGCAGCTTGGGCGATCTGCAGCTCATCTTTCTCGCCCTTCTCCAAATGCTCATTGTCAAGCAAGGCCTTGACAGCGAGCAAACGCTTCTCATCAGGACTGGAAAAATCTCCGCGAGCAACTGTCAACTCTTCTTTGGCCAAAGAAGTCTGGAAACTCAAGAAGAAATTGCTCTTGCGAAGCCGGGCCCACGAGGCCAGATCTAAGAAGCGCAGTCTCTGCTCCAACTCACCCTTGTCCGGCAAGGAAAGATGACTCAGAACTGCAATTGCCTGAGGGAACTGGCCACGACATGGGCCATTTGTGGGGCTGTAAACGTATTTATGCAACCTTGAGTTTGGTCCTTACGCTGGAACCCCCATGTGCCTTGGCCAAGCCTGGCAGAAACCCGTGAACAGCCTCTAGGTCTTGGAACAAATCTGCAAACTGCCTCTTATGCTCATACGCGGCTCCATCGTCGAGCAAAGATTTGGCGACACTCTTGACCACTTTCACGTTAACCGCGTCTATGCTCTGAACGAACCTAGGGGGATGAACACAAGTTTTTAACGAATCTGCTGCGCGGTTGCATTCTTCGGTCACTATGGACACTCGACAAAAAATTCGTTTCACAAAGGCCACAGACTTAGAAAAAAACTAGTCTAGGCACAACTCCGGCTCTCCCTTGTAGGCTCGGTGCTTCTCCAAAACGTGCTCTTTGAAACGTCCAAACCAAACAGCCGCTTCGCTGTATCCTGGGATAAGTAAATGTGATACGGAAGCAAACGAGTGCTCATATGTAAAAACAGTGTATGATATACAAATATACTCTCTCTCTATATATATATATTATATATTGTATATGTAGTATATAACATATGTAGACACACACACACACGCGCGCGCATCTCAGCGCCCTCTCTCGACTGAGTTTCCGCCACGAGTGCCCTTCCGGCCTCAGAGGCATGCGAGCAAAAGCTTTTATACATACACATTGTACATCTACCCATATATACACACTATATACAACACTGATGTACACTTTAAAACTATACATATATATATATATATATATACATATATACAACACCAATCTACACTAAAACGCTACACAGGAGGAAGCGGCCGCATCGGGTCCCCACACCATTGCTTCCAGCCTCAGAGCCGAAGCGGTGTGAGGCAAAATCCATCGTTATATGTGTATATTTATATATCTATTGGCCAAAAAATATATGTGTGAGGCCAAAAAAATTATATATATATATATATTGGAGCCATCCCTGAAGGTTCGACGCTCAGCCCTCTGGGAACCGGGCCGCCGCCACGTGCAGCCTTAGCCGCATGGGGCGGATGGTCTCAGTTTAGGATCAGAAAGACAAATATATATAGAGAGAGAGGGACACACACACTATAATATACAAAAAGTATATATATATAAATATATATTTATATACGTTATGTATTGTATATATACATATAGATACGGTGAGACAGCTACTTTGCATTAGAGAAAAAATTCCTTCCATCTTTGAGCGAGACACGCTTGTCCTGCAAGCATTGGCCAATCTCAATGGCCATCTGCCAAGCCACTTTGGTTTCATCCGTTTCGTCACTGGAATGTCGCTGCAGCTGCCTTTCCGAAGCTCCTGCGCTCTGGGTAGAAGCAGTCACAGCCTGCGGGACAGGTGCAGCGCTCGCTTCTACAGGGGTGGATTCGGGCAGATCCAGTTCCAACATGGCCTGTTCCAAGGCCGAATGCTCCAAGCCTTTTCCATCAATGGACCTCTCACTGCTGAGCGCACACTCGAGCACAAGTGTTCCAACTGGCAGGTCGGAACGAGACACGGCTTGGTCAAAAAAGTGGAAGTCATCAACCTTTGTTCCGGGTGGAACATCCTGCAAGCTTCCGGGCGCAATGAGCTTTCCACTGAACTTCTCGGGGATTCGCTTCATCATGTGCTTTGGAACAGCCCAAAGGAGCTGCTTGAGGGCAGACGATGTCTTCACCGTTGTTCCACAGGATTGGAACAACTTCATGGACACCCTGGCTTTCTCATTCTTTCCGCTCAGCAAATGGTTCAAAGCTATCCATAGTTGGACCGACTGCTCGTTCAGCTGAATGGTTGGGTCTTTCTTGCTCCACTCGAGCAAACTTCTCTCAGCCTTCTTCCGAAGGTCCCTGTTGTCCTGCCCCGAGACCTCCGCCAAGGCCTGCACCACTTCTTGATTATCTCTGTGAAGGCATCCCTCACTTGGGTGATGTACGTTCTGGACAGAACCTTAGCTTCCTCAACCCCAAAGTCTTTGCACAACTCACTGAGGGACTGTGGGGGGATATTGGGTGGAGCCAGTCCAGCCCTAATACACCATACATGCTGCACTCGCCCAGCTAGTTTTTCACCTTTGATCAAATCTACTTCAGCTTGCAGCTTCTTGCACTTGTGCCGCAGCTTTGCGCAACGAGACTGAAATTGTCGCACAGTCAGCGAACTTCTCAACTTACGACGCTTGAAGGCATCCAAGTTCAAATCATGCCGCAAAACTTCAATCAGCTCCCGTGATTTCTGTATGGATCGCTCAATGTGTGCCAAAGGATGCGATGTAGCATTCTGAACAAAAGCTTGCAGCAAGTTCTGAAGCTGCCACGCTTGTAAACGCACATTGTCCGACATGGGCGGTCATAAAAGGAAATCTGAAGATACAAAAATGAAAGGCTTCTCAAACATTGAACAGACAACATTCAAAGGCTACATTGTTTTGTCATGTGCCGAAGGGCCACAGTTAGCTAGTCCAGTGATCACTTGAGTCACTCTATTTAGGTCAACCTCCTTCTGGACGCCAACTAAAACTCATACACAGCATTGAACCTTAAAAGGCTGCCTATCACATTTGAGCCTGAAAAGGCTGCCATCACATTTGAGACTACACTAACCGGGTTGTACCCAGGCGCAAGACACAATCTTTGATTCCTTGAAGGCCTGTGTGATTTGCAACCTAATGTGCCAATGGTTTCAGAGGACCAATGGCACAATCCCCAAATGGTGGTTTATATGGACCCCCACATCGAAGACATCTTTGGGTGTGTGCCATCTCCTCTGAACCCCCTGTAATCAAATTGATCGTGATTGAAATATGGTTGAAATATTAATCTTATCCCTGGTCCCTGCCCGCCAAAAGATCAAACATTTGTATCCAACTCAGAAGTCTCAAACCTAGCCTACCTAGCCTATCCCTGTACCCTGCAGATTTCCAGCGGTATATATCCCAGGGGTCCCAAGTCGCTGCGGAAAATGCTCGAACCTAGGCATGTTTTTGTTCATCGAACAGCTAGTGGAAAGGACATGGTATCTGGAATAAGGAAACCAAAACAAACCACATCTCCGCACTGTTCGGCGGCGGACCCAATAGTTGATCTATGTTGATCTTGTATGCTAAAACTCATGAAAAATTAAAGAACCATATTCTACGCCTGCCTTGGCGTCTGACACGCAACACGTCAGGAAACTCTGTCATTGGGCAAGACAGCTTGATTAACAGATTCGTTTACGCGACCTGGCCCCAAACGTCCAAACCAAAACAGTGGAATTTACAATGAGCAAACATAGAAGCAAAGGCCGGCAGGTTTATTGACAAATATCCCCACCAAACTAAAGTAAAGGATTGAATGTTGGAACATCTAAGCGATCTAAGGATGTCTCATGCAAGAAACAACCATCTCTCCATCTGAATCTCGTCCTCCATCAAAGCCTTCCAATCTCCCTCCGTGTGCTTCTCCCACCTCACTCGGCTGCGGCGAAGATTGAAGATTTTTTGAACTCAGGGAGAGGCTTCCACTTCAGCCCCCGTACCCCACGTTTTCAGTTGGCAGACTGCCCCAAAAAAGTAAAGAATGTAAAACATAGCCTCCAAAGAGGTCATGGCATCTGCATGGTTCTTGGACTGAATCAGTCCAACTACACGCACAATAGGGGCGGAAAGCGAAATGGATGCCAGGTGGATGGATGCAATGTACAATGCTACACTGCCATGTATGCCAACTGACTGTTGGGAAAACCGTTATGACGGGGTAAAAATAAACAACTCCAAAAAACACATCATGGCACAGTGCACACGTTCTTCTGATCCCTAGGGGTCCAAGTACCTTCTCAGAAGGTGATTGGAGGCACTGTTATTATATTTGGAGGGTCCAGTCGTACCTTCTGAGAAGGTACGGCTGGATCCCTAGGGGATGCCAACTGTTTGTTGAGCTGATGCCAACCACACCACCAGGGCGCTTGGGCCTAAGCACCCGATGGGGCGGGGCTTAAGCCGATGCAGCAGCTGACCAGAAGCAACCACTTCATACGTCAAGTTGCTGCAAGCTCCACCCCACGCCCGCCCGATGGGGCAGCAATATTCCAATATATATATATACTTACAACTGTTTTTCTTGGCACTACCTGCCTTTTTGAAGCGGTCTACTGAGTCTACTGGTTGAACATGAACTCTTGTTCCTACGCACAGGCGCACGTGGGGCCTGCGCTGAGCCCATGCGGGGCCAGGAACAATGTTGATCAGTTGCACGATCAGTTGCACTGCACCGTCCATGGGCAAAGTGACTGGCCTGTGATTCATTGATGTTCTACTCCCGTTTCTAAGGGAGGTGGCCCACTTACCAGCTACCCAACATGCTTGGACAAGGTCTTCTCATCCGCCCACAGCCTACGCAAGCCTAGGCCAACCCCACCCGTACCAGGAAGGTTAACCTGAACCTACGCCGCATTGAAGGAGTTCACTCTTCATCTTCTTTCAATCATCTCACAAACAATATATAACATTGCTACATGTTGCTACTCATTTGAAGATCCCCCAATGTCTGTGATCCAGCCAGCTGGGCTTCACAGCTCATGAGTCTTGGTCGCAAGTGACGGGATGGAGTTCTTCTCCTTGGCGAAGGAGACTCGACCGGACTTGAACATGGGATGGGCATGGGAATTCATGCAGGTATATTTGTGGCATGCTATGGCTGGTGCTGCCTGGCCATGGCTCTTGATAAATTCCAAGACATCATACCGGGATGAACTGGAGTATTTTAGTATTGTCGACTCTTGGTCAAAGAGGCGCACCCCATATTGTGTTACAATCCAAACTGGTAATCTAGGAGTCTCCAAAGCTGGGTGTTGAAATGTGTTCAGCCTTGAGACCAGTTGATTCCTTCCATCTTTACCACGGCTGTGCCGGGCTCCCGCACCAACTCCACTTGCTCGGCACGTTGCCGTCGGTGCAGGTCTGCCTTATAGCGAGAGTCAGTCAGGTCTCACCATCCTGCCATGGGGATCTGGCATGAAAATACCATAACACACCCAGACACTCCATGGGACTGCCATATATGCCTACACTGACCCCTCAAACCACCCCAATGTAGGCAATATAACATACATGGAGTGTCTGGGACATGGATGGCTATCTAGATTCTAGATGTTTCAACTTGTTTCAAGTTGCAAGGGTCAATGTATGGTGAATCATGAATCCATCCATATCCTTCCAGTATACCATGAATAGTTGGGGCTTCGGGGTACCTTCAAATGCCAGGAGTCTTCGTGTTGAGCCAGTCTTCGTGTGCCTGGTGGGAACCCATCGAATCGGTGAATTGAAGTTGATGTCCACCTCTTGGAGTTGAGTGGGGAAGTCGCCGATCAACGTCCTCAAAAAGGAGTGATGGCCTCCACCTAGTAGCTTCTTTGTTACCAGTAGGAACGTGCCGCCTGCAGGTGATCCGCAGGCTTCCTGGACCAAATGGTTTTGACTCAGGGGATCACTGTGCAGGAGAGGACGACTGGGGAGCCCTCACTAAGGACGCCTGGAGGTTCAAAGCTGCCTGGCTGTGCCATGCACCAGCCTGGCACTCCTGCAAGGTTGCCTGTTACACCGCCTTCTTCTTGCTAGAAGTAAGTCTGGTTGCCGCGGCATGGAAGGGTGTCCAACTGGAGAACAACAAAAAGGTTATAGTCATAGTCACTCCATGTCTGTCCAAAAAAGAACCCAAGAGGCCGATCTGGCAGCACTCCGATCCGGCGGGATCCGGCAGAACTGGCCGAAATGTAGGCGCGTATGTTAATAGTGAGACCCCCTGGGCCTAGCTGGGTAGACTGGTCCATTTCCCCTCTCGTTGACGGAGGTTCATTGGCTAGTAAGGGGGTCAGTCTCGCGTGTCTTTTTTGGAAACCCATGTTTGCTTCAGCCGGATCATCGACTCATGCAGAGAAAAGAACATTCTCAGCATGGACAGGTTCTGGTTCTCGTGTTCTGCCCTGAATGCGAAGACGGCAGCTTAGCTGGTTGTCCAAGCACACGGAAAAGACATAAATGAAGGCCGATACATCGTGTTCTGTAAGAAGGCCAAGTTGCAAGCAAAAGATCAAACGCCACCAGCTCTCCCTCCTTGCTCTCTGAGAACTCTTCTGGCAGTACTGAGTTCATTCCTCATGTCTAGCTGTAGACAGGTCTTCATTCACAAGGGCTTAGCACTTGGAGATCCCATCCAGGCAATGGGACGATCAGAAGCACATCCTAAAGAAAAGCGCCCTATCCTTCACCAGGATCCTCCGGACCGTGGAATGCCAAATGCCCCGGCCGCAAGACCAGACCGGCTTACATGTCCGGCACCATTTGGCGTCCATGTTGAGCAGTGGACACATTCAACCTTGCTACTGGTAGCTTCTTGTTCCTTAGTTTCTTGCCACTAGTAGACTAGTAAGTCATGCCTTTTTGCTACTAGACTATAGATGAAAATTACAGTTGCGGTCGATTCAATGGTTTGAGTTCCCCTTGTTTTCTTAGTCAAGTTTGCCTTGGACCTAGAAGCGGTATGAACAAACACCTCAGCACTTTCAGGAATGCTATGAAAAAAGGTTCCGGAATTCCCATCAACAAGGCGTTGAACACACTTATCTAGTGAGTCAGTGAGAGTCCAAGAACCACCCCTCCGAGCCGTTCACCATCTTGGCACTGAGACTCCACACCATCTTGGCGCTCTGCTCGTCCAACACTTGTCTATATTCTAGGCGCTTCTGCAGCAGGAGATCCTCAGAACTCTGCGGTCCAGCTGCGATGACGCTTCTGATGCAAGTTTACCCTCGCTTAAATGGAGAGAACGATGTAGACCATCCGATCGATATACCCCAGACACTCCATGGGACTGCCATATATGCCTACATTGACCCCTCAAACCACCCCAATGTAGGCAAATATACCATACATGGAGTGTCTGAGTACTATACTGTCCTTGCACTTTTGGAGACCCAGTAACGTGGTATTCGATTGTCTGCAGAACACACTTTTGGAGGGGCCCTTCCTATTACGGCATGGCGAACCCAGTTGGATTCACGGTCAGCCCCTCCTGGGGTATGTCAACAAACATCCAAGAAAACCAGTCACCATTGTCAACCGGAAGATCTTATCATATCTTATCAGTAACCATCTGTCACTCCCAACCGACGTCCATTCTGTAAATACGGGGTATCATCCTTTTCCACATGCCCATCACCGCCAGAAAAACAAAAAATCGCAACACTTACAGCTGAGTGGTTCAAGAAAACTCTCACAGGAAAACGGGCTTTGATGGTTCCATCGCCACCTGCTCCTGGACCATCCTTCCAATATTGCACTCCATTCGCTTGACCTTTGCGCCGAGACACCGGCCGATCCTGGTTGGCACGTTCCACGCCCCAGGGCGGATGCACTTGGGCACTCACCTACGAGTAGAGCGGGTGAGGTGAGACCAAATCCCGGTGACAGGGACTTGGCCTGTTTGTTTTCCGGCAATGCCATGCAACAATGCCAGCACTGGAGGGAGTGTTGGAATGCCTTTCACCTACATGCACATGCATGGTATTTTGATGTATTGTGTGAGCTTGATGACTCTGGCAGGTATGAGGAAGCGAGATTCCATCAGGCCAATCTGGGACGAGCTGGATAAAGCTGAGAGGATTTAACATACGCACAAGAACACGAAGGAAAGAACCTCCTTGAAAATGAAAAAAAACAGGAGGAGCTCATAGGACAGGACAACAGAGGTCTGTTGGGATGTCTTGTGCTTTTATTTTTTTTCACCCGGAGACCATATGAAGATGGGGTGGGTATTAATATAAGGTTTATAAATTATTATGAGGGAATATGAGGGACAAATTTTGGCAGCTTCAACAGAATCATGTTTTGGATAGTGTTTGATTAAATCAGGTTTCATGAAGGATTTTTGGTCTTGTGGTTCTGGCTAATTTGGAAGGATCTGGGTCCAGTGAGATTCTTGCAATCAAATGGGTCCATGGAGCGATGTACAAAAGGTTTTGGAGAACTCTCGATCTGGGTGAGGACGATGAACAAAAAATGGAAAACAGGATGAACATCGTCCTTTGAAGCAGGATGCTAACATGGGTGATGAGCATCAAACACCTACACCTGGTTAGTAGCTGAATGGGCTCTCCACCAAAATGGGCCAACGTCCCATCCGATGAGTCCTCAGTGTTTCTGGGCAAATGGCCAGAGGCAGACGCGCCTATTCCATGGGCCAGGAACAGCAATAAGGTGTTTTGGAACGTTAAGAGAAGGGACGTTCATTGGCAATAGAACCATGGGATGAGGGATTGGTGGTTGAACAAAGGGGTGGTGAGCATTGCAGTTGTTTGCCAAGCGGTTAGTTAGTGTTTTAGAAAAAAAAACGACCAAACTCACATGGGGGGTTCCTTCATCATGGCTTCACAGTGCAATGCTCAAGAGGTTAATTATGGTTAATTACCCAAATGCTGAGCTCTGAAGCAGATGCTTGATCCCCCAAGAATAAACATCCCTCAGAAAATCCAAAACATCCCTCAAACATCAAACATAACCCAGCAGCTTCCGGCTTACTCGTTGTGGGTCACCAGTAGAAAGTGTCCCCCCGAGAGAACGCACCCCATGGACTTCCTCTAAGGCCTTTCACCTCGTCCGACACCCCTCAACCACCCGCCTCGGGAGCGCTGGGCGCGCCAGCATTCCGCGCTGCGCAAGCGCTGGGACCGTGCGGTGCCAGCTGTCCACGAGGTGTCGTGGTGCGGCTGTGACGGGACGAAGGCTCCTGGCGGGCCGGCACCCGAGCGACCGGAGCGCAGCAAGCGAAGCAAGCGAAGCAAGCGCAGTGACCGGGCCCCCTGCTGTACAACAAACTTGGAGAGCGCAAACAACAATTGGGATGACAATGGATCACATGTTGCAAAACCATTTCATCCAAAACACACCTATCATCACCTATCCATATCGGATCGTCGCGTTTGGGTTCGACGTTTGGGTCTTCAAGATGACTCAAAATATAATATAATATATATGGCGACAAAGAAAACATGTCAAGCTTCAAAGTCCTTGTCAAATAACATGCAGCACTTAACAACCAAAGTAACTGGTGTGGCATGCTGAGCTGCCATCTTTGGCTCCATCCACATACCCTTCGAGAAGGCAGTGAGTGATGTATGATTCAAGGCTCCAACCACCTCACTACAGTCCTGAAAAAACCTGCGAATCCCTGCTGACGCATGCATACTGTTCACATCTGTTCATCTCCGTGGGCGGCGGTGAAGACTTCGGGCTTTCCCGGCGTCAGTCTCACGACGTCCGCGAACCGAGAAGGCGTTCCCACCACGAAGGTCGACCTCCCAGGCGTTCCGACCCCCAAGAAGGAAAACTAGGCCAGTCGGAACAGTGGGGGCGATCTGGAGGTCCCTCCGATTGGCTCCACTGTCGATTGACCGTTGGTCCGTGTTCTGCGACGACTGAAGTGGGGGTGTACCTTCTGTCCAACCTCGTGAGAATCCCTAATCTGCAGGCCAGGTGTTCGGTTGACTGAATATTATCAAGCTAACCTCGTGTTAAACAGATTTGAGCAACATATATGGTTATCATAATATAATCAACAGCATGAGGTGGGCACCCAACTTGCGTTTCTTCCCGTACATAAGTCCACCACAACAAGAACAGCAACTCCAGACAACCCACGTCCCACTGGCCCAACCCACGTCCCACCCAACCCTTCGCTCCCTTCGGGACCCCGAAGAGGACATGCTCCAGAGCGCGGAGCGCACCTCAAGACGTCAGAAGGGCAGGCAGTGGGTGCACACGGACAGAAACGGCATAAACACCAGGTGGGGGAACCAAAACTGGCCAACGCCCACCCCGATACACCATCATGAGATATCAAATGAATGATGGATGATCTGTTGCTTGCCTAGAATAGCCGCAGACCAATAGTTCTGCTTTCTTCCCTGCCATGCGCCAAAGACTTCTAAAGCTGTGGAGAAGCAGTTAGAAAGTGCCTGGACCCTTTGAAGTACATCCATGACATGACTCTGACCCCCGAAACATTAGGTATACTTGTACCCTTTAAAGCTGCGGTACTTTGAGATTCCAGGCATCACTGCAAACACCCTGGGATAGTGAAAAACTCTCTCACAAACCACCGGGGGACCTGCTCACTACCCCTCCGCTGTCGACCTGCTCACTACCCTCGCGCCTCAGGTGTCCACGAGCCTTCCGACAGGTCTGGCGCCGGCACTTCGGCGGCCTGGATGGCTTGGTACAAGAAGTATCAAGAACTCCTTCGTGTTTTTAATTTAGGTACCTGGACCTGAAAAAGGGATGTCCTGTCTGGAGGTTCCTTCTTAGTAGTGGGCTGGGGCTTCCAGCCAGGTGACCCCTTTGAAGGTGCTGGTATGTTTTTTAGCGTAGGTAGAGGTAGAGACTAGTCATGGTGTTGGAATTCAAAATGTCCTCCAGTCTTTGATAACTGTATAGAGGTAAAGACTACACCATGATGTACCTCCCAAAGCAAATGCCTGGCAACCGGTGAGTGGTTCGCTCCAAACAACACGGGTTTAAAGAAATGCAGCTCAAAGGGTGGCAGGCTCTTCGGATTGCTTTGAGTCATTTTCCAAACATGACCGATGGGACTGCCATACATTTACCAATCACTTGGAGTGGTTGATTGATGTGTGTTTTTGATAGATCTGATATATCTTACATATATAAACACATATGACACCTATTCCATGGATTTCCATGGATGATCTGACTTTAGAACTCCAAACGACCGCATTCTGCCCAGTTCGGTCCACTCCCGGAGAGTTCCGGACAGTTCCACCAGTCTGGGGAAAGGAAGACAATGCAAAGCTTACCAAACGAAGGGCCCCCTTTATCCCCTTTATCCGATTTCTCTCCTCGGACTCATGATTTTGACTCAGTTGCGGCCAATCACATTCAAGAAATCCCAAGAAATTCTCGCATCCGCGTTTAGCCAATTGTGGACCTATTACATCCCACTCACCCGAATGCTCGCAGGAACACATCCTATATAATAACTTCGTTGGAACCAAGGCCTCCACGCAGGGGATCTGCGACACCACTTGGGAGGGAGCACCTGCAGTTCGGCAGGACTTTGTCGGAACCCTGGTCGTCCAGAAAGTGGGAAGAGTACAAAGATCAAAGATTTGCCGTCGAAAACGAGTTTGGTACCACCATTGTAGCGGGTGTTCAAACAGTGCCAAATCATTTCAGAGACACATATTTGGAACGGTTGGGATCAAGGCCTCAGCCGCAGTGATCCAAGATGGTCAGAATAGTGGCTCACTGTATGACCCCTCATCGTTTGTTTGTTTCCAACAAATAACACCACATGGAACAACCAACGTAGCGGAACTGAACGCACTGAATGAACGTGTCTTTCCCAGACCCGTCCCAGGTCCGCCGGTGCCTCCGTCATGGACGTATTGCAATACAACCCCAAGGCATGAACCATGGCGGCCATCCAGATTGGGAGCACCAAAATACCCCATCCATCCCCTTCCCTTGAGAACAAAAAAGTGTTGATGTATGTTGATGTTGTCCCCTTTGGGGAGATTCATGTTGTCCCATTTGGGGAGTTTCAACATGTACATGTAGCATCTACAAAGTATACATGTATCTAAAATTTAACATAATTCCGTACCCAGTGGATCCCAGTTCCCACCTTAATTATAAGTCACCAAGGTTTCGCTCGGATAAAAACACAGTTTCTTAGTCCAATCCACCCATCCGACCAATCGTCCCTGGTTTGCCTGGATCCTCTTGGGAGAGTCATCTCCAATCCCGTCGTCCGCCGCACCGCTCGGCACCTTCACTCGGCCCTTGACCCTTCCCGAGGCCCTTCGCAGTGGAAGGTGCCGCCGGCACCTAGGCGGCTCCCAACGTGGGGCCGGACGCGGGAGTCGGCGTGTGCTGCATCCAAGCAATGTGTGATCCAAAAGCAACGGAACAATGGTTGACTGTCTTGTCCTGACTTGGGAGGAATAGAGGGGTCGGTTTGGTCCCATATACCAAAGGCCATGGCTCTGGCAGAGGATTGTGGACCACTGAAGTTGTTGGTTGTTTCGGAGTCTGCTCTCCCTTTTGAACATTTTCGAGCAGCCCAATGACTTCCAAAATATGTTCCAAAGGTCATTAGTTGTTGTTGAAGGCAAGTTTTGTCTAAATTAATCAAGACACCCACTCCAAGTAAATCAAACCCAAGTCGATCTAGGCAGGCTTTGCCCAGGCAGGTAAACTACTAGTATTGTTTTATGTCGATGTCAAGATACAATTGTAGTAATACATATATATATATGTTGTTCTTGTTTAATAAATGGTTCAGAACAAAAAAATGGACACAACCACTCTCACACCCATCTCGACCCCTTCTAGAAATGGATTGGATGATTCCGTCTCTCCCTCTCTGCCATCTCAGGTAGGCCACTCACACCAAACAACCAGTGCAATCTTGGAATCTCCTGGATCTTGGTCCATGCTCCTTTTCCCCAACTATTTACTTGCCATCTGAGTTCCAGTGCCATCCAGACTTGTGGTCTTGAACCATCCCTGGCGAGCTGTGTCCAGAGTCGCGTTCTCACGCCGCTCGGACGGAGCAAGGCGAGGCGCTCGGCGAGGCGCTCGGCGCCCGCCGAGGGGGAGACGGTCAGGTTAATCATCGATTAGAGATGATATAGCACAAACATGCCCAGAACGCTCAGAACAGCAGCAACGGCAACAAAACCAACAACCACAAGAACAACAACAAAACAACAACAACAACAACAACACCAACAACACCAACAACACCAACAACACCAACAACACCAACAACACCGACAACCAACAAACACAACAAACACAACACCACCAACACCACCACCACCACCACCACCACCACCACCACCAATAACAACAACCACAACCACAACCACATCCACAACCACAACCACAACCAACACCCAACAACCAACAGCCAACAACAACAACAAGGTACAAACAAAAACTGCAGCCCTGTTTGAACATATATTGTTGCTTTGTCTCTACAAGGGAGTGGAAACAAAATCTGCACCCCCGTCGTTGTTTTGTTGAACCCCCCCCCGAAAGCAACCAGCCAACAAGTGCTTTTAACAGTAGTGGTAGTGCTTGTGCTAGTGCTACTACTAGTGGTACTAGTACTAGTAACTAGTAGTAGTCGTAGTAGTAGTAGTAGCAGTAGTAGTAGTAACCAGTCAGCTGAGCCTCTGTAAAACTTCTACTTAGAACTTCTACCACAACCTATAGAAACAAACACTGCAGCCCCGTTGTTGTTTTTTTGGACCCCCCCCTCAAAGGGTGTTGTTGTCTCTTGTTGCTTGTTGCTTGTTGTTGTTTTTTGGACCCCCCCCTCCAGAACAACACCTCAAAAACACTAAAAACGGACCAGCCCAGACTTCAGTGAAACAAGTCCAACAAGTCCACCTACTTACGAGACCAACATTCGCTCAAACCTTCAACCGTATCCCTAACCTTGTCCCCTTGGAGTTGCAAAGTTACAACATGTGACATGTGGACGGCTGTTTTTGTTTCTACCAACAACAACGACAACAACAGCAACAACACCAACAACAAACAAACACACAAACAAACACACACCCACAAAAACAAACAAACAAACAAACAAACAAACAAACAAACAAACAAACAACAAACAACATGTAGCAGTTGGTCCAGGGCCGAATGGGTTGCTTCTGGGTATATCGTCGTGCATCGTCCATTCATGCAGTACCAAAAACATTCACAGGATCAGCCCAAGAAGTTGGCCTCGAAATGAGACTCTACGGGACTGGCAGTCCATGATACTCCCGAGAATGGGCTGTTTGAAGGGGGAGCCTTGTAGGTACATCGGTCCCATGGACTATCCTGTGTAATCTATACCCTTTGAGGAGGTGATCGGAGATTCTGTTATATAGGCGCCACGAGGGCTCAATCACCTTCTCAAAGGGTATGTGGCTCCCTAGGGATGGTGATTCTAGGTTTAAGGTGACCCTCTTCTTCTCCGAGTTTTTTGAGCCGATCCTGACTGAGTTTTGGACCAGCCAGTGATTCTTGTCGTGGTATCCATATATGCACATATTCTACCAGGCACTGACTGTAGATAGGTCAACAATGCTTCGACCTGGGCCCATGTCTAAGCCTGGACAAAAGACCTGGCAGTGAGGCTACAGGTGGATGACCTCAAAAAGGGTCATCTTAAGGAAATTGACCATCAACAATCAACCGTGTGGTTTTGGGCACCCTGTCCATGTTCCACCATCGGAACCGCCCACGGGACCCGGGTGGCACGAGTCCCGCCACCGGTGGAGGAAACACGGAAGGAAACAGCGAAGGAAACAGCGAAGTAGTCGAGTCACAAGCTGCTACTCTAAGTGACACTCTTAGAAGACCAAGCAGTCGAGTCACATGTTCCCAAGGACGTTCCCACTGTCCATGCACATGAGACCATGTTGAGACCCGAAAACCACCTTCGTCCCCCAAAAGCTCGGTCACGCCGTCGTTGCGGAGAGAGAAACGGGCTTAGCCGAGCGAAACGAGCATCCGGCAGGATGCTTCCCATCGACGAAATCAGCGATCCCCAAATAGATAGAACCGGTTTCCATGCTATTTTTGGTGGGGATCTACTTTTCTATCTAACTGGGGGTCTATATATAGATTAACGTTCAATCTTTGGCAATCCTCCATCTGCCCCTAAGACGCCGGCCAATACTTCCGATACTTTGGAAGCGGCACTTTCCCCTGCCCGCGCTGCTGGCTGCTGTTGATAACAAAGAAACACATGGTTGTGACTCAACATCACTGAAAGTATATATACCCTCCCTGAAACAATCGTGGAAGTATATACCAACCACCGGTTTGTAGAGGAAAAGAGTCTTCCAAGAGGTCATGTTCCGCTTCCATGTTTGTTGGAGGGAGGGTAGTATGTTTATTATATATAGTGTATATATATAATTATAGATGTATGTAGTATTGTATAGTATATATATAGAGTATTGACCCATGTGGAACACTTGAGCCTAAGCTCACCCTGAAGAAAATAACATAATATCTACGCGGAAGGTGCTCCAGGAACCGGTGGAACACGGCCTAATAGGAAACGTAAAACATCGGTGTATCCAGTGTATATATCTATACCTGGACCATCCTGGACCGGGGCCTCCAATAGACTACCCTTAGGGAGGTCTCCTTGTGGGCCTACATACTCGGACTGGATGGTCCTGGTATACATTGATATTCACCATGTTCTTGTTTTCGATGCTTCTATATACCGATGAGCACATCTTCTGCGTCCACATCATGGGCACCGATGGTCCATCCCAAGAAAAACGCCCCTAACACCTCAGTTTCAGATACGTCGGTGGAAGGTGAAGGTCTTCTTCAGGTATTTGAGCGTTCTTTTGTTTTCTTGCTGGAAGTGAAGCCTAAGGTGATGGTCAAAGTTCTATTTTTCGGGTATTCGGGGTGGTTGTTTGGAGTTGTTTTGGGGTTTGGTCTTCATATTTTTTGTGGCCTAGAGTTGTCTTGTGTCCTTCACATGCAAGAAGCAACTTCGGAATTGGACACTTCCACTGGGAGCCAGTTGAGATTAAGACGTTTGTGCACAGAACTGACTTTCTCAGTATCCCTGGAAAATAGGTTAGTATTTTATAGTCTTTTTCCACCTGTTCAAGTTGGATTTTAGTGGGGTGTCACCAATCAATCCCCAAATAGATTGAAGGACACACTTTTCCTGGGTAAAAACAGTACAAGAACAATCAAGAACACACTCAATGACACATCATGACCTCATGCACGATCGTGAAGTTTTGAAGACTCACCGGCTGGGGCGACATGCCATGCACCAGTGAAGCAACGAAAGGATAATCAAGGCTTGAGCGGTTTTCAAGCCATCACATCTTGGACGCTATCTGCTCGGTTCGCTTCTCGTCTTCAAGCCATGGACTTTCAGCGGACCGATCTCTGTCCCAGAACGAAGGCACCGAAGCATGGGGAAAACCACATGCACCACGCACCGACTCAGAGAAGACAAAACAAAGAAATACCGACTCAAAGGACTGGAAGATGATTCTTGCGAGCTTAGCGGCTGAATGCGGGCCTAGCTCTGTGACTCGGTGGGAATAGGTGGGAGGTCGAGTCGTTGGGTCTACACCCACCCGAACCTGGTCGAGTCCTGGGGGAGGTCCAGGGGGGGGGGGCCTACATTGACCCCTGAAATCAGCATCGGCCCAACAGTCTGGGTCGCATCTGGGTTGTCCTGACCGCCCTAGCTCCGGTCATCGGTTCGGGCCAGGGGTGGGTGGGTCTTGGGGGATCTGTGACCGGTCACCGGGTCGGAGATGGGCCGAGACAGGAGCCCTACCAACAGGGCCAGACTGTGACGCCACCCGAAGTGAAGACGACGACACCTAAACACTCCAGGTCTTCCATGCATGCATAGTATCTACCCCCATTTATGACCCGAAAATGTGGACAACTATCTCTGTCAGTCCCATGCATTTTCTGTAGCTCAACAAGCACTCAGAATCCTTCCTTCCCAAGGCTCCTTCCATACATCAAACATGCAACTCAGGGCAATGTGCTTACTCCGGCGCTGGAGAGCCTGGAAGAGATGGGTTACTCATGGTGAATCATCTTCCACCTCTTGGATGTTGGAGATTCTCGGTATTTTGGTGGGGTGTGACCCCAATCCCAAAAAGCTGGTTAAAGGTCGTAAACCTTCGTCTTTTACATGAAAAGAACACACACGGGTAAATCAGATGTAAAGAACGTAACCTGAATCTCTGAAGACTGAGTGTAGGGATCCTTCCAATGCAAATCCATCAGCGCCGCGCTGAAACCGCTCGCACCTCACTCAACGCCCACGTGCGAGGCGCCATGGCGTCTCTGTCACCAGGCTCTCCGGCCGGCTCTGGGAGAAAAATGGCACGGCCAGAAGCGATTCATCTGCGGATTCACAAGATTGACCCTGGGATCTTAGGTCTGAGAAAGCACGAAGAAAGCAACAAGAAGCAACGTGTGGCTTTCCAGGACACCTGTTCAGGGGTGCCAATGGGTGGAAAGGGGTGTACATTAAAAAAAAGCCGGAATGGGCTCCAAACAGCACGGCCTGCACGGCACTCAAGAGACCCTATAGTGTTATTTGTTGATTCAAAGAGTTTTCTGAGAGAGCGGACACTTGGGATTGACTCGACGATCAGACCGAAGTGGCCTTCGGTAAAAAGGCGGACGTTGGGTGGACCCTTTTCCAGCACGGATGTTGGGTGGTTTTTGGATGGAAAATGCATGAACATACATTCGTGTTTGGGCTCCTGGCCGCCCCCTCCGGCCATCGCTTCGGGCCAGGGGTGGTCTTGGGGAGTCGAAAACCCACCGATCACCGGGGTGGGTGGTCTGGGACGAGATAGGAGCCCTGTCCGGGCACAGTGAGGCGTACTCCATGGTCACCACCACCCTAAACTCCATGGAGCTGGTTCAATTCCACCGTGGTGAAAAAGGTCACCAAATAGTCAGCTGCCAAGCGATGCGGTGAAAAAGGCCATGGGGCGCCCCAGTTGGACGACGGATGGACGTAGGACGACGCTTCACTTCGATCTGGGGCGCCCAGTAGCCACTCAACCAGGTGTCCAATGTTTCCGAAAGTAGATGCACAAGGGAGATCAATTGTGCAAGTAATGTTTCTTCAGAGATTGAATATGTATGAATATGTGCAATAGTTACTGTATATAGTTCTATCATCTTTTTTGGAGATCGTTTTACATCAACGATGTGCTTTCCGCAGTTCTTCCACGGCTGATGTGAAACGCCCAAAGATAGGAACACCATCCAGGATACCAATGCACATTAATCAAGTGTAGGACCACGCAGTCCATGTGAGTTGCTTGTTGGAACCCCCTGGACAATGGTTCTAAAATTTGAGACCAACCATGACCAACCCTTGACCAACCTGGCGGACATGAGAGGCCTCACCTGAGCCTGAAGATGAGTGACCTCTCCCCGAAGACGGCTCTAGCAGCTTCTTCCAAAAAGGCAAAAAGGGGCCCTCGTTTTCTTTCTAGATCCACTCTCCGAGCATCATCAATCCTGGAGAGGGCATAAACATAATCCATAGAATGTCATTCACTCTCCATAATCCATGAACATCCTATGCCCTCTCACCATCCTACGAGTGTGAATCCCTTGATCACCCTGGGAACAAAGCACCGGAACTCCACCGCAGCAGGCCGAGCTCCCTTGCGGAGCATGTGGCCAATCGACGCGCCTGCCGAAAAAAATATTAAAAAAACACGTGTTGCATACCACTCAGAGCTGCGTCGGACGGGGTGACAGTGACTCTGTCGAAAGTTGTGCAGTGGATGGACTCGACATGACTCTGTCACCCGGTCTTCGGTCCAAATGGAGTTTTTAGGACTGTGAGCAAACACCGCCATTCATGATCTCTAGTGAGGTAAGAAATAATGGTACACAGTGGGTCTCCAGTGAGGTACCCTCACTGCCAGGTCTTTAGTTGAGGGTTGCAACGGTCCCAGTGCCCAGGTCGAACCATTGATGAATTGTCTTCATCGGGGTCCTGGCATACTCTGAATCCCTATAGGCCTCCAGTCGTACCTTCGTTTCGGTTCGGTGGGACGACCGGGGCCCGGGTGCCCAGTCGGGTCCAGGAGCTACCGAAGCCGCTTCGGTTCGGTACGACGAAGATCGGTGTAGGGAATGTGGGTGTGTCCCAAACTGATGGGATCGATCAGTCCTGGCCTACCACGAACCCACGCCCAGCTCTGCGGTTCATATTCCTTAAGGCTGGGGGTCGCACCCAAAGTGAGACTATCCTGGTAGGTTGACCATGTCTCACTTGGCTTAAGGAACGAGAACAAAAACACATCTTCGAAGGGGATGCATCCATAGGGATTTAAACACAAGCAGGCAGGGTCCTACGATGCAAATCCAGGCTCTATTCTGTTACATGGTGCGGTGCCTGGTGCCATGACGGACAGTCCGAGTCTGCAGTCGTCATAGACGAGTGGTTCGGCGACTGGCGACCTTCGGCGGCCCCAAACGTACGTGTTGGATCCTGCTTCGGTGCCAGGGGTCTCTCCGTTGCAGGCGCGCTGTCGACTGGGGAGGGATGAACGCACATGAAATGGAGCGCTGCTACTTGGACCGCTGTTGGGGAGAACTGGAGGGTTCCAGGTATGGTGAACTCCGAGAGAAGGTTGCCATGTTCTTTGTGAACATGGCAATCTTCTGGTGTTTGGTAGTTCCCTCCATACCTCGACAGCGTCTAGGCCTAGGCCCTGGATCCTCATCCCTCCACAAACAAACCCAAATCCTAATCAGAAACCAAGGGTCCCGTCTGACTGAATCACAGTTTTTTTCGGCATGATCCGCCGACATTGCGCCTCTGGACCCGGCATGGCTCAAGGCTGATCAAAAAAATCCCTCTGTGAAGCGGCACAAATAAGCCAGATATGACCATCCGGACCTCATGGCATGGACATCATATGTTTCAAGAAACGATTCCTCTTTGTCGGTCTGGGCGGGTGGGAAGTTGTTCATGGTTGATGCATGATCTGTGATGGTACCTGGCACCGAGATAGATGGGTGCTTGCAATTGATGTTCTTCCTGCGGAACATGTCTAGTCAGCGATATGTTCTTATGTCTGTTCAAGTGCCAAACGATTCTCCATGACACTGTCAAAAGAATGCTGGCACAACTTGGTTGATCCTCTATTGCCCCACTTCAAATGAGGGCAGCCTGAGCCAAAAACGCAAAGCAACAACGGGGCGAGGGCGACTGCAACCAACCGGTGGGGAGCATGACCAGTCCACATCCAGGCCACCTGAAATCAAATAGAACAATTGGACTAACAATTGGCTATCTGGGGGCCAAATGTTCCCAGATTTGTGTGAAATGGGTGAATTCCCAACCGACTAAAGTAATCAAAACAGATTGAAACCTTGTCAGAACCTGTGAGAAGTGGGGAATGAACACAACCTGAAATTGACTACGCGTGCCCAAAAAGTGTACCACCACTACTACCACTACCACTACGACGACGACGACGACGACGACGAGGACCATGACTACTATTACGACAACAACAACAACAACAACAATTACTACTACTGCTGCTGCTACTACTACTCCTCCTATACTCCTATTTCTACTACTACTCATGCGTGATTTTTTTTAAAGCACATACTCCTATTTCTACTACTACTCATGCTTGAAAAAATACAGCACAAGCCGGACATTTACCTCCTTGATTCCTCCCCTTGGCGTCTCCATTTTGCATCAAAGGCCGGGCATTCTGATGTGGTCTGCTCGGCGAGAAAAAATAGCTGTGCTGCTAAACTAAGATGCAACATGACGATCATGGAGTGAAACGAAAAGCTAGGGACAAGGTCGGCCTGCTATATGGAAAAACAATAACAAAAACGATACACGATGAGGGTCCAAACAACATTGTCATGCAAAAATCCATATCTTGTTCGTAAATGGAAAATGCTAGGGTATAATGTCTATATACAAATTTTATGCACATGCATACAAATAGATATATATATATATTATATACAATAGAAATATACAATAGACATATACAAGTGAAATTCCAATGTCTATGACCACCCAACATGGATGCACACATTCCAACATACAACCCCCACAATGTGCTGGTTTCGGCCCTTGCAAAGACCTTTTGGGTGAATCAGGGTATCTTCCAGGAAAGCAATGATATGAACATACTCATGTCCATAGGCGAGAACTACATATACAAATATGTTTCTATATATATAGTTATTTTACAGAGTGGATGTACATGCCAATGAAGAAGAGTTGCCGCGCAGTATGAACAAGTGAACCCGCTTGAAGTCCGTGTCCCGTTGGTTTCTTCGCATCGTCGAGTCGTGTCCAGTCTTCCAGAGACGCGGACCATTGGCACCATGGAGCCCGCCGGGGTTCAAAGGGAACCATGCTGACCCCAAGCCTAACATCACCGGATAATTGAATTTAACCGAAGATGTCACCTATTGCGGTTTTTAATGGGGAACACTATCCCCAAAACATAGTTGATCATATTTATATACGTTTATCCACTGAATGGGTAAACCTAAAGTGGACCCTTCGACTGGCATGTATATGCATGAGCCAAACACATTTGCAAGGGTTATATGTTTCTTTTCGAGTGTATCAGTTTGTCTTTAATGATCGAAATACCTTGGGGCTCCCAAGCCTCGAGTCATGTGTTTGGAGTCTGCCAAACAAATTTGCTCAAAACCAAGAACAATATCACAGGACCCGACAGGCAGAACTTGCCTCCGAACATTCACATCTGCCCTGCACCTTTAGCTTTGAAACTGGGTAAACTTCATGCCGATGGGGATCCCTTGTGTTTTTAAGGGTTGCATGAAAATAGTTCGACGAACAAGCGGAAAGAAACAGCACGAAACGAGAAACACAATCCATCTCCAATTCTTTCATGGAATCTTTTCTCAGGCCCCCAATGAATCCAGTGATGTTCAAACGGTTTTATCTCAGATTGCACATTTCTTGAATAACACCTTGGTCAATGCATGTTTAAAACAAAGCCTCCGATCACCCCGGGTCCGGAGACCACCACGGACACTTCACCGACTGACAAGGCACTGTGCAACGTCACGCTTTTGAGGCATCAGAGGATGGACAGTGACCAGCTTTTGGGTCCCTTTTTCTTAAATGGTCAGGAGATCAGAAGTTGCTATGACCAGTTTCGGGGGAACGTTGATATGATATATGCCCATTCCTGCTTTTCGTTGCTTACATCATGTTTCTGAATGTCGGCAGTGGGCAGAGTCGGCAGATCTTAGGAGACCCTTTTCCACCGCCATGCATGCTCTACAGTTTGGCTTTCCTCCATTCCATGGTGACACCTGCA